ATATATATAATATATATATATATATATATATATATATATATATATATATATATATATATATATATATATATATATATATTTAAATATACAATTCATCCAAATAGTGTTTGTCATTTTATAGCGGAAATCTACTAATAAAACATGTGGGTGTACATTTTGGTTAATCTCATTAAAATATTAATAAAACATCCTGGTATTCCGTTTGGCCAATCTCTCAAAACCTGTTCGGTACTTCTACGTTATTTGTAAACTGGGGCAGTGGGTCTCAACTTAGCAAGAAAACGTGTTTATAACCTTATTTTTACACCAAAAAAAAATTTTCAGACACATTGTTAATGTTATATGCATGCAAAAATACATTGTTAGAAGCCATGTTTTTTGTCTAACAATAGTGACATGACGTAATTTGATGTGACGTTGTCCGGTCTTTGAAATGACAAACCCTTTTAGCGTCACGATAATATTTTTAAAAAAATAATAATAATAATGCTTCACGGGCACAAGGTTGCTCAAAATAACCAGAAAAATCTGTATAATTTCTAGACACCCCCGGTATCTAAACAACAATGAATGTCCTGTTTTTTTGTTTGTTTTTTTTAAATTTGAAGTAAAATGTCCCTTGTCTAAACCACGATGATTCACGATGCATCGTAAAAGAAATGGAGTTTCAGCAAATTTTTCAGAATCATAATCTATAGGAGAGATTTTATAATTACAATAGGCAAGTATAAGGCCATGGTGAATAATTCGAAGATAAAAAAAAATGAAATAAAAGACTGTTAATGTTAAATTCATGCTCTAAAACAAAATGTGCTGGAAATATTACCCGCCTAATGACACGACGACGTCTGATGGATGAACGGTTGAATAATTAGTTTTAAAAGTTTTGAAAAGATGGACACTAATGACATTAATTTTATGGTGCCACAAAATAAACAACTCTTTAAATGGACAATTACAAAATTATAATGGCTGGGGCCACTTTCCATAACACTGTTGTTTTGTTATAGCTCTCTCTCTCTCTCTCTCTCTCTCATTCTCTCTCGACTCACTTTTTTTTACCATTCTCTCTCGTCACTCAATTTGCTCTCATTCTCTCTCTTTCTATCCATCTATCTCTTTCTATCTCTTCTCTCTCTCACACACACACTTTCCCTCGCTCTCACTACCGCTTGTCTATATTCCAGGGACAGGCAACTTTAAAAGTTTACCTGTTATATGCCCTGTTGTTACGCAAGATTTATTGTTTTTCTATCGGCAAGCCATAGACAAATTAAATACAAAATTCTACTGATGTCATTTTTTTCTTCTGCTACTGATGGACACTTATTAAAGTATGTAAAAGTGTAATTAAATGGCAGCGCCCATTACAACAGAAAAGGCTCAAACATAATTCACTTTCAAAACAACACACCAGAAGAAAAAATAACTCTTTCCAAGTTTATACTTCATAGTTCTACATAGGAGCAGTTGATTGGTTCAAGGGCGTTACCAAAACTGATTACATGATTATATGATGGGTAGGGATGAGATGATAACACGAGACAGTCTTTCTTTCTTTGTGAAGTATTCCTTCATGATTGCTAATGTCTATTGCGTATTTTGTCTGAACTCAAGACCAGTGTTCATTGCGTATTTTGTCTGAACTCAAGACCAGTGTTCATTATGTACTTTGTCTGAACTCAAGGCCAGTGTCCATTGCGTATTTTGTCTGAACTCAAGACCAGTGTTCATTGCGTATTTTGTCTGAACTCAAGACCAGTAATTATTGTGCACTTTGTCTGAACTCAAGGCCAGTGTCCATTGCGTAACTTGTCTTTACTCAAGGCCAGTGTCTTTTGTGTATTTTGTCTTAACTCATGGCTAGTGTCCATTGTGTAATTTGTCTGTACCTCAGGCCAGTGTCTATTGCGTTCTTTGATTGAACTCAAAGCCAGGGTTTATTGTGTAATTTGTCTGTACCTCAGGCCAATGTCTATTGTGCACTTTGCCTGAAATCAACGCCTGTTTTTAGTGTGTACTTCTTCTTAACTCAACGTCGCTGTCTATTGAAGGAATTCTTTACGGGTGTTCACACTCCCTTGGGATACGGAAGGCCGTGCCAAAGTGTATGGGCGACCGTTCCTGGGGGTATGGAAGGCCTTGGCAAAGGGTATGGTAGGCTGTGCCAAAAGGAACGGAAGGCCATGCCAAAAGATGGAAGGCCGTGCCAAGGGGTATGGAAGGCCTTGCCAAGGGGTATGGAAGGCCTTGTCGGGGGTATGGATGCCAAGGGGTATGGAAGGCCTTGCCAATGGGTATGGAAGGCCGTGCCAAAGGGTATGGATGCCAAGGGGTATGGAGGCCCTTGCCAAGGGGTATGGATGCCAAGGGATATGGACGACCGTGCCAAAGGGTATGGATGCCAAGGGGTATGGAAGGCCTTGCCAAGGGGAATGGAAGGCCTTGCCAAGGGGTATGGAAGGCCTTGCCAAGGGGTATGGAAGGCCATGCTAAGGGGTCAGAGGGTATGGATGCCGAGGGGTATGGAGGCGCTTGCCAAGGGGTATGGATGCCAAGGGATATGGACGTCCGTGCCAAAGGGTATGGATGCCAAGGGGTATGGAAGGCCTTGCCAAGGGGTATGGAAGGCCTTGCCAAGGGGTATGGAAGGCCTTGCCAAGGGGTATGGAAGGCCTTGCTAAGGGGTATGGAAGGCCGTGCCAAGGGTACAAAAGTACGGAGACATTTTCAAGCAATGACACACATGTGTAGAGGAAAAATGTACAGCTAAAAACTAAACCAAAAAGGAATAATAATAAAATAGCTGGTTACAGTGTTCATGAGCTGAAACTAAAAGGCTATTTACATGCGCCCAAGTGTCTCCGGCGAGATATTTTAAGTCAGAAAACTTCCATAACTGATTTTTTTTCTGAGTTAATTTTGTATTTCAATACCGTAAAATTATTCCGGGCAAGGTTGCGTGGTCTTTAAAAAAAAGGTTTAGAGCTATTTTAGTTAACTGTCACCGTCAAATAAGTTCTCTTGTGTCGAAAACTTTTTAAAAATTAAAATACTTTTATTTTATAAAGGAATAGAATTCCCCCCCCCCCCCCCCAATTTGGTTTTCCATTGAAATCTCTCGCTTAGGCCCAACATTGACCCATTAAAAACTTTAAATGGCAGATCCCTTTCTTGTCAGGTCATGAATTTTACAAGTAGAAATATTTCATGGACATAGTGAAAATATAGGTAATAACTTGTTATTGGCTGGGGTTGCATCTCGTATGAAAACACACACGTTGAGAGAGGCAATGGGGCAGCTGAGGCAATGGGGCAGGTGAGGCAATGCGACAGCTGTGGCATTACAGCAGCTGAGAAAATGGGGAAGCCGGGGCAGTAGAGCAGCGACCGGGTTGATTCTAGACCGCTTCTTTATTATCAGGATTGACTACGACAGCCCGGTTTTTCATCACAGCCAAGATATTGTTAGAAATTACCTCAGAATAGCAACAACTCGTCATTAGTCAAAGCTGGAATTTTTCCTATGACCTGTATGTAATGGATGCCATTCATTATGCACATGACAGATACCAGCATGTTAGAAGCCTTCAAGACCAAATTTGTATTATCCCCTCCTTAAACAATAAGTCTTGATGCCCATCTTTAAAAGGGGAAGCCCACAATACTAGTTGTAGTGTGTGGACACATACGAGAGATTCTGAGTCCTGGTCTCCATGTCGAACTGGGAACCAAACGTGGTCTCCCCCAGGCCGGCCACCCTGGACCCCCTGCAGCAGCGGAGACGGCACGCCTGCCGCTTGATCACGTTTTTAAAGTGCCGAATTCCTAGCGAGTAGACGAAGAAATTTGAGCAGTGGAACAACGTGAGCAGCAGCAGAAAAAACAGCAGCCACGTGTTGGTGGAGCTCCCGGCCACGGCCGGGTGGGTCAGCACGAACGCTATGAAGTACGCGTAAGGGCTGACGAAGACGAAGAAAATCCCGCAGATCGTGACGAGAAGTTTGACAGACTTCCAGTTTTCAGCGTGGTGAGACGTCGTTTTTCCCGCCCCCGGGGCGCCTGCGGCGTGAAGCGCGGCGCTTTGCTGATGTTGGCTGCGCGAGGTCTGTCGCTTGATTTTCGATATCCTCTTCATGTGCTGCAGCGTTATGAAACAGATGTGCGTGTAGATGGCTATGAGGGTCAGACAGCACACCGTGTGTATAGTCGGGTTGACGTACGCGGTCGACACGACGAAATAGGATTTCGGCATGTACAGGTTCCGGTTGAAACACAGATATGGAATGTTCACGGCCAAGGACACCGCCCAGGTCGCCGCGATGCTCGCGATGACCGTCTTGGAGGAGACGAACCTCTGGTAGAGAAAAGGCTGGGTGATGTACAGCCACCTTTCCACGGACACCAGGACGAGGTTCCCGTTGCTGCCGTGGATCTGAATCCCCCAGGCGAACGCCGTAACGATCTGAAGCGTCACGGGATCCACGTAGAAGGGGACGAACCGGCGGACGATCGTGCCCACGGAGAGGCCGAGCATGAGCATCGCGAAGAGGATGTCGCTGATGGACAGTGAGACGATGAAGGCGTTGGTGCACGTGCGCAGTATCGGAGTCCTGACCATCACGACTACTGTAATCGTATTCGTGATGAGAGTGACCACAAGGGAGACAACGAAAACGCACAAGATGATGAACTCGAGGTTCGAATTCGAGGAGCTTGAGTTTGAGACTTTGACGACTCTTGTCGAGTTATTCATTTTGGAGATGTCTTGAGAATCGATTCCAGAAATTCGGCATGTTAAAACTACTTTTTTTTTTTAAAAAAGCGACACCATTATTTTTCAGTAGGACATAGACTCCAAGGTTGATCTCTGTTCACGCTTAATTTCATTGTTGTTTTTTTTTCCATATGTTAAAGTGTTGTGGTTATCAGACTATGCCATTTGAGAATCACTGTACAGCTTTCGGAACACGGTATGCTCAAAGAAGTGGCATTGACATGTCCTCGTCCTGATTTACACGTTAAGACTTGACTTGTTTTTTTTTAAAAAGGAGAACTAATTAATCTCTAGATGTGACAATCTTCGGTACCCTTCAGAAGACTTGGCCAGCCATCCTTTAAAAAGGTTACGGCAACACCTTGCCCTCAGTTCAAACGGCGAAGAATTCATTTGATCTTTTTAATAACAATATGTTTTTTTTGTGTCTCCAACTTTTTTATATTTTAAAAAATTATCCTTAAATTAAATTTGAACACTTTGAACTTTAAATAGGTTCAACTCTTCGGTCATGTTTTATCTAAGAATCCTAATAGACGGTTGAGAAATTCCAGTAGTTGTTGTTGATTTTGCTTAAAGAAAACTACAACAAACTACGTCATTGACTTTGTGTCCATCTCGTTTGCTGACCGTGCTTTGGGCTTTTTTGTGGCCGCTCTGAAAAGATAAAAGAAACTCAAAAATATATTGTATATTGATTGAACGTTAAATTTTACAGCCTTCAGACTGGTGTTGTTAAAAAAAAAAAAAGCAACGACTGTGTAATTAAAAACTGTGGCGCTTTACTTTATGACTTTATTGGTCATGATGTGAAGAGTGGGGTGGGGGAGGGGTAGTGCGGGTGATCAATGAGACTTCGGGTTGACCTTGAGGATATCCATGGTCTGACTGGCGCCTGGGTTGAAACCAGTTATTAAACAGCTCGATGTAATGACAAAACCCGCGTCTTGTTCGCGCCGACGGTTCTCAAATTTTTGGTTCTAGCGAATATGTCGAATTTTTGAAAATGTTCCGATAGACAGAGTTTCTGTTTGGTTGGGGGGGGGGGCACATTGGTAATTTCCAGTGACACTTAATATGTTGAGCACACACAGACATACAGAGAGATAGAGAGTGTGGGAAGAAAGAGGCAGAGAGAGTGAGAGAGAGAGAGAGAAAGAGGGGGAGAGAGAGAGAGGAAGAGAGAAAGGGAGAGAGAAAGAGAGGCAGAGAGAGAGATGGAGAGAGAGTGAGAGGGAGAGAGATGGAGGGAGAGATAATGAGAGAGAGCAGGAGGGAGAGATAATGAGAGAGAGAAGGAGGGAGAGAGAGTGAGAGGGAGAGAGAGTGAATGAGAGAGGCAGAGAGAGGAAGAGAGAGAGAGTGAGAAAGAGAGGGAGGAGAGAGAGGGAGGAGAGAAGGGAGAGATTGAGAGGGAGAGAGGGGGAGAAAGAGGGGCAGAAAGAGAGAGAGGGTAGAGAGAGTGTGAGAGAGAGAGAGAGGGAGAGAGTGAGAGAGAGAAGGGGGGTGTCTAGTATGTAGATTTCATTAAAGTAATAAATGACATTGATGACATTCTCAAGTCTAGTTAATAAATATTTATACGCTGCGGGATTCAGACATATGTACAATTTATGTCAGTACTCATGTGTTGCTGTTTGCTTTGTGTTTTTATAGTGAGACGACTTTGTACAGACCACATTGGTATCCATTTGGTGTGTACCAGAAACAAAGAACCCAAAGTGACGGGATTCCTGGCATTTTTTCCACCAGGGGGGGGGGGGGGGGGGGGGGGGGGGGGGGGCGGGGGCGTCTGCTCAGCTTGAGTAGAAAAGACGAATGAAAGGCTTCGTCTAATAAGATAAGATAAAATAAGATTATTTTATTGACCCAAACAAACGGAAATGTTTTATGATTGCATTATACATTTTCAGCACATAAATAAAACAATTTGAACACAAGACATTTGTAATAAATTATTTCAAAAAGCCATTCAGTGAGTTCTCTTAGCAAAAACGGGAACTTATTAGTTCTCATTCAGATGTGTGACTTCAGAGGAAGTATGCCGGTAAATTCGTACAGATTGGGGAACAAAAGAATTTTGTATATCTTTCAGTCCTCGCCCTGATGGAAAGAATTCGTCCGGAACAGCCCGATCCTAAGTATCTGTGATGAAGAGGGTGGGATGTATCATACAAAATGTGTTTAGGCTTACATAAATATCTTTCTTGAAATAATTCTTCAAGTAAAGGATGTTTAGTTTGTGTTATGTTCCTAGCTTTCTTAAATAGTCGGTTTATGCGGTGTTTAATATCAGACGTTAAATTCCCACACCTGCAGGTAATACCGAAAAAATAAGCAGGCTTCCAATTGTTGCACTGTAGAGTAAGTTAACGACTTGCTTGTTTACGCCGACATTGTACAGTTTTTTGAGATAGAACAGTCTTTGGTTGAATTTCTCATACAGCATTTGGCCGTGCTCATGCCATTTTAGCTTATTATTAATAGTGACACCTAAGTACTTGTATTCCTCCACTTTCTCCACATTTTGATTTTTTATGTTGATATTTGTAGTCTGGTGTTCCCCCTCCTGAAATCAACAAAAATTTCTTTTGTTTTTGAGACATTCACCTGGAGAAAATTTTCATCGCACCAATCGATAAAGCTTGTAACTAAATGGCGGTATAAGCCTTCTCCTTCAGATATTAAGCCAACGATGGTGGTATCATCATCAAATTTTAAGATTGGAACGGTGTCGATTGAGCTTTGAAATTATTTTTTGTATATATTGTATACAGTACAGGGGAAAGGACACAGCCTTGTGGTGCCCCGGTGCTTATTTCTCTGGTTAGAGATACTTGGTTATTTACTTTGACATATTGTGGTCGAATATTTAATTTGACACCTAACGAGGAAAGTTTCTTTATCAGAAAAGCACTGTGACATACGTTTTAGGACTGTCTAGGTGATGGTAAAGTCTCTCCAACAACAGTAAGATTGCAGGTTTGTAAGCAAATGGACCTGGATTGGATGTCCCTCTAATCATCATCCTAAAACTGACCTAATTATTCTGCTCATTTAAATCGAGTACGTTAGGGCGTCTGCTCACAGCTTGAGTAACAGAGATGAACTAGAGACTGCGTCTAATGAGCCTGGTTCCGATGTCACTGATTTATCATAAAACTTGTTTAATTATAATGCTAATTATTCTGCTCATTATTCTGTCAATATTCTGCTAATTATTCTGCTAATTATTCTGTCATTATTCTGCTCATTATTCTGTAATTATTCTGTCATGATTCTGTCATCATTCTGCTAATTATTCTGCTTATTATTCTGCTCATTATGCTGCTCGCTATTCTGCTTATTATTCCACCCATTATTCTGTCATTATTCTGTCATTATTCTGCTCATTATTCTGTCATTATTCTGTCCTTATTCTGTCATTATTCTGTCATTATTCTGTCATTATTCTGTCTTTATTCTGCTCATTATTTTGTCATTATCATGTCATTATTCTGCTCATTATTATTCTCATTATTCTGTCATTATTCTGCTCTTTATTCTGTAATTATTCTGTCATTATTCTGTCATTATTCTGTCATTATTCTACACATTATTCTACTCATTATTCCACTCACTATTCTGCCTATTATTCTGTCATAATTCTGTCATTATTCTGTCATTATTCTGCTCATTATTCTGCTCATTATTCTGCTCATTATTCTGCTCATTATTCTGCTCATTTATCTGTAATTATTATGTCATTATTCTGCTCATTATTCTGCTCATTATTCTGCTGATTGTTTTGCTCATTAGTCTGTAATTATTTTGTCATTTTTGTGCTCACTATGCTGCTCATTATTCTGTCATTATTCTGCTCATTATTCTGTCATTGTACATTCATTATTTTGCTCATTATTCTGCTCATTATTTTTTCATTTTATGCTCATTATTCTGTCTTTATTCTGCTTATTATTCTGCTCATTATACTCCCCATTATTATGTCATTGTTCTGCTCATTTTTCTGCTCATTATTGTGTCATTAATCTGTCTTTTTTCTGCCCATTATTTTGTTATTATTATGTCATTAATCTGCTCATCATTCTTCTTATTCTTCTGTCATTATTCTGCTCATTATTCTGTCATTATTATGCCATTATTTTGTTATTATTCAGTCATTATTCTGTCTTTTTTCTGCTCATTATTCTGCTCATTTATCTGTCATTATACTTTCATTATTCTTCTCATTAATCTGCTAATTATCTTTAATTATTCTGTCATTATTTTGACTATTCTGTCAATATTCTGCCCATTATTCTGTCCTTATTCTTTCTTTATTTTGTCATTATTCTGCTTATTATTCTGCTCATTATTCTACCCATAATTCTCTCTGTCATTATTTTGTCTGTTATTATTCTGTCATTATTTTGTCATTATTCTGTCATTATCTTATTATTCTGCCCATTATTAGTCATTATTCCCCTCATTATTCTGTCATTATTATGCCATTATTTTGTTGTTATTCAGTCATTATTCTGTCTTTTTTCTGCTCATTATTCTGCTCATTTATCTGTCATTATACTTTCATTATTCTTCTCATTAATCTGCTAATTATCTTTAATTATTCTGTCATTATTTTGACTATTCTGTCAATATTCTGCCCATTATTCTGTCCTTATTCTTTCTTTATTTTGTCATTATTCTGCTTATTATTCTGCTCATTATTCTACCCATAATTATCTCTGTCATTATTTTGTCTGTTATTATTCTGTCATTATTTTTTCATTATTCTGTCATTATCTTACTATTCTGCCCATTATTATGTCATTATTCCCCTCATTATTCTGTCATTATTGCGTCATTATTCTGCTCATTATTGTGCT